GCAAGAGATTCAAGCTTCTAGGGAGAATTCAGGCTTGAGAAGCCATTGATTTGTCTTTTTGGTGGCCAATGGTGTCTGTAGAACTCTCCTACAACATCACTTTTCAAATGAATCAATTTTCTTCCTGTCACTTTTCTTCATTGTCCAGCTTTCACATCCATGCATAGTAATGTGTTGATTTAGTGGGGCTCTGCTTAGGATGTTACTGTTAGTATGTGTTCCTTTGAAGTAAAAGGGGGCGCAGTGGCTCAGAAGATAAGACACTGAGATCTGACGAGACCCTAGTTTTGCATGATGTTCAAGACCCTAGTGCTGCATGATGGAGTGAGCTCCCGTCTCTGGCCCCAGCTCCTGCCAACCTAGCAGTTGGAAAGCAAGAAATTGCAAGTAGCAAGAAATTGCAAGTAGATAAATAGGTACCGCTTCGGTGGGAAGGTAACAGCATTCCGTGCACCTCGGTGTTTAGTCATGCTGGCCACATGACCATGGAGAAGTCTTCAGACAGCGCTAGCCTTTGGCTTAGAAATGGAGATGAGCACCGCAACCCTAGAGTTGGACTCGACTGGCTTTCGAGCAAGGGAAACCTTTACCTATGAAGAAAGGCTAAAGCATGGAGGCTTTTTAGTTTAGAACTAAAAGACTGACAAAGGGGACGTGTGATTAAGGTTTATAAAATTATGCACAGCATTAAAAAAAGTGGGCTGAAAGAACTTTTGCCTCCTCTTCGATACTACTAGAACCTGTGGTCGTTCCAAGAATTTTGGGCTGGCATGGGAAACAAGCTCAGGCTAGCCTGATCTCGTCAGATCTCAGAAGCTAAGCAGGGCCAGCCCTGGTTATTATTTGGATAGGAGACCACCAAGGAGCCCCAGGGTCATGACACAGAGGCAGGCAATGGCAAACCACTCCTGAATGTCTCTTGCCTTGAAAACCCTATGGGCTGTGACCTGACAGCAAAAACCTTGCCTTGAAAACCCTATGGGCTGGACCTGACAGCAAAAAATGGGGGGGGGGGATATTGCTGGACTTGATGCATCTTGATCCTGCAAAGCTCTTCTTACGCTCTCATGGTGAACATGGGGACATCTTCATGAACCTCACAGCCAAAGAAAGAGTTCTTCACATAGCACAAACGTTTCGACGAAAATGTGCTGCAGCGTTCACTAGCATATGTGGCTTTTAAAGGGAGTTGGACAGAGTCATGGAGATGGCTATCAGTGATACTGAATCAATGGAACTGCCATATTCAGAGGCAGTATGCCTCTTAATGTCAGTGACTGACAGCGATAGTACTATGTGCCATTAATTGATTAATTTCATTTATACCCTGCCTTACTCCTCGGTGGGAACCTTGCTGTCCTCTTCTTCACTTTATCCTCACAACACTCCTGTGCAGAAAGCCAGGCTAAGTGTGTGCGGCTGGCCCAAGGTCACCCAGCAAGCTTTCATGGCAGAGTGGGTAATGGAACTTGGGTCTTCCAGACTGTAGTCTGACACTGTAACCGCTAGACCACACTGGCTCACTTGTGAGCTTACTGGGAGTTCATCTCGCTGGCCACCATTCTGAACAGGTTGCTGGGCTCAATGAACTTTTGGTCCTGAAGAGCTCTTTTTATATTTTTATGTAGGTGAACATGTGTAGAACATGTGTCAACAGGGCATAGAGGCCAAGACCTTCCCCTGATGTTGCCTCCTGGCTCTGAGATGCAGAGGTTTAGTGCCTCTGAATACGGAGGTTCCCCTCAGTCACCGTGGCTAGTAGCCACTGATAGGCCTAGCCTCCATGTTTTTGGTTTTTATTTTACATTTTATTTTAAATTATTTTCATTCATTTAAAAAACCTATATTTATATGCTCACCTTCCTCAGCATCTCAGGACCCAAGGAGGGTTTGAAACTGTTGAGGGAATTAAGAGTCCAGGAGCTTTTCCTAGGAATCCCATCCCTACCTGGCTCGACAAGGGGGGGGGTTGAAACTGGCAGGAGCCCCATAGTTTGAGAGGGAGAGAGAAAAAACCTTGTTCCAAAGTTAAAACCTCTTACTGAAAGAAAACCACACTGCACAAATTTTCAAACAAGTGGCAATTTCAGTATTCATCTTACAGAAGGGAACAGACAAAGCAATACTTATAAACAAATACTGCACTTATTATTCATTTAGGAATTATTATCTATTTAGGACTGCATTCTGACCGCTCTGGCAAGACCTAAACCACGGTGTTGGTAGAGGGCCCTTAGCATCTCAAACACTGGTGTGAAATACCTTTAGAATCTAGATTTGCTGTCAATCAAGAAATCGGATGGTCCTGACAAAACCCAGACCCCTCGCTTTTCTGACCCGTGGTCTGGTGTGGTTAGAAACTGCCTCAGGAGACCTGAAGAGTCAGTTAAAAACTCAGGACATGTACTGGTGTTTCAAGAGAAGGGGTTTGGGTACTGGAAGGAACGTAGCAGCCTGTATTACTAGGTTAAAAAACCCTCCCTGTCAAGGCAGGAGCTTGGACCCATAGGACCTCATATCTATATGTTTTGGCTTTGAGGCTGAACCTTAGAAATGTAAATAGTTATTTTAAAGCAGAGTGCAGGGTGCATTGTCAGGCTGAAGATCTTACTGCAAAGTCTTATGGGAATGAACCAAACAGAGAGGCCTAAGCCAATTCAGGTTGTTGTACAGAACTGCCCTGTCTCGCTTATAATTCTACCACAGAAATGTAAGGGCTTATGTCTGAAATGGTTATCTGGGCATCAGAACCATTAAAAACATAAAGGGTATGAAGGAGTGAATTTCGTAATTTATCATAAATCTTGTGTTTTTAGTGTTCAACGAGCCACTGAGTTCATAATAATCCTTGTGGTAAAAGTGTGACTCGGAGACCCTGTGACTGTGAAATAAGACTGATTCACATGGCTTTTCTTAGGGGGTGTAATGTGGGTGAGTGAGAGCAACTCATGTGTGTTTTCTTCCACAGATAAATTCCTCTTTCTGGCAACTTTATTTTCTAATGAATATCTTAATATTCTTGATAGATAACATAAAACAGTTATCAATATTTCTGAACTGTTTTGAGAACCCAAAGCTTGGCTAGTCTCAAGTTAAAATGTCTTCATGTTTTTATTGGCTTATGTTACTTCGTTAACTTGAGTTTTCCAGGATTAGATTCTGATGAGTCAGCTAAGGAAAAAACTTCACAAGATTACGGGGGGGGGGAGGGATTCAGTCTTGTATTTGTAACATTTTAATGCAAATGCATATAAAATCACTGGTATAAAAGTCAAATTTCTACCCAGGTGTGACGGACTGCACTTTTAAAACCATAGAAGTGCTGTGTAAACAGATAAAGGATTGTGAAGGGTTAATTCTTCACAGAGAGCTTTGAGTGACAGGCTGTTCCAAGAGATCTGATTGGTTAACATGAGCTGAACAGAGAAAGACTTCTGAACTGGATGCTGAGGAGGATTCAGTCTGATTTCAGCCCTTGCTGAGAAGAGTTGAGTACTGACAGTTTTGGAATTCAGCCCTGACTGAGAGCAGTTTAATGCAGATAGGAGCACAGGGGAAAGTTGGCAAAGACGAGTGGGTAGTTAGACGGAGACTCCCATTCTGGCCAATTAAAGGGGATAGATCTTCTAGTGAGAGAAGAATTTCCCTATCCACTCAAACAGGGAGTTAGCTGTGAAGAGTGAAGAGACCCGTGGTCTAGTGTGGTTAGAAACTGCCTCAGGAGACCTGAAGAGTCAGTTAAAAACTCAGGACATGTACTGGTGTTTCAAGAGAAGGGGTTTGGGTACTGGAAGGAACGTAGCAGCTTTCTGGAAACCAAAAGAGTCAGAGAATACTCAAAGAAAGTGTACTGGAGTGTTTGGGGAAACACTGGAACAAAAGCCCCTCAACAGAAAGATTTTAAGTGAATACCTTAAGAAACTCTCATTAGCCTGAAACATAAGAACTAAAGCCTGTGCATGTACTGGTTTTACCTCAAAGTATCTATATCATGTTATTTCAGAAATTCCAACCCCTGATTTCACCTGACCTTTCCCCTCTATGTTGAATAAAATATTTAGTTAATTTTGAATTTTAAGATGTCTGAAATGCCATTTTCAGTGGTTTAAGTTAAAGGGTGATCCTGGCCCTTCCCTCAGGTTCCTGGGCTGAGCCAGCAGTAAAATATACTGACAGAGGGTGGGACAGTTCTTCAAAGTTCTTCAGGAAAGAAGAAAACAGACCACTAGGGCTGCTCAGTCAGAAAGGGAAAGAAAAATAGAGAGAAAATCTTGCCTCTGAGGGAGGGAAGTGGACCATCATAACCACATAATTTAATATTTTAATGTTAATATTGTATATTTGTTTTTTTGTTTTTATGTTGTTTTCCCTTATTGGTTTTAATGCTGTAAGTCACTGCAAGACTCTTCGGGTGAGCAGGGACTAAAAAAATCTAATAAATAAATCAGTCCATCAAGGTCAGTATTGTCTATCCAGAGTCTCAGGCAGAGGTCTTTCACATCACCTACTGCCTAGTCTTTTTAACTGGAGATGCCAGGGATTGAACCTGGGACCTTCTGCATGCCAGTGATACTGTATGGTTTGATGTTTTGTGTATGGATATTCAAGGGTTTTTTTAAAAATTAGTGTTGCTAATCACCTTGGGTCCTAGCATACAAATAACTTAAAAGTCAAGTGGAATACAGAGCTCTCAGTCATCTATCAAAATGGCAGCTGGCATCCTTGACCTTCACAAAAATCAAATACCTACTAGACTGCAGGGAACCCATCTTGTGTGAAATAAGATGTTAGAACAATTATCCTGGCTCACCATCTTTCAATGTGGTTTCTCTAAGTATAGTCTGAGAGAGAAAGATTGCTACCACCAGCACTGTGGATTGTAGTCTCAAAAAACTTCAGTCCTGGCCAATTTAGTGGGGGGGTGACCCTTTGAATAATTATTTTTTTCCCTTGCTCTGTGCATTGTTACTGACACTCTCTTTTCTGTCCTGCTTCTAAAGTTCAGCACAATCAAGACAATCTTCACTCTTTAACTTTAGAGGAATATCTAAATGGAGATTATCAGTACAAAACATTCTCTCCTTACTGGGTTTCAGGTAAGTTATCTTTGTATACATATATGAATCTAATCGGTGCAAAGAAAAGAAAAGAATGGGGTGATTGGCAATTCATTTCTCCATGTTATTTCTTTGATAATTGAGGGGTGGGTTCAGGCATGCCAGCATTGCACTAGTGCACGACATCACTTCCAGGAACTGATGTCATCATTTCAGGTGGACACTCTAGGATTCACCCCAAAATCCCAGAGCAGTGTCCCCAACATGAAGATGTCACTTCTGGTTTTGCAACGGAAGTCACAGTGTACACTGGTGAAACACCAGCATATACCTCCCCCAGTTTCCCACCATTCCCCTCCCTGTGGGCCTGGGAGGTCTCCTGCTATCATGGGAGACCTGTCCCCCAATGACTTACTTTATGCCCGTAGCCACAATATCTAAATGCGACTCCTGTGTTCAAACCATCCATCATGTGTGATCTAGGATATAAAATAGAGAGCTTGAGGAAGTTCTCTTAGGCTTGCCAAGTCCCCCCGGGGAGCGGGGAAAACCCCGCCCCAGAGGCCCGTTCCCCGCCACCGGCGGATTGGGCCCCAGGGGAACTCCACCCCGACGTGCACGTTGCCCGGAAGTGACACGGGCACGCCGGGCACGCTGGGGGCGGGGCCACGGTCATCCGAGGGAAAACTCTATGGAGTCCCCCGCTGCAGCTGAATTCACACTTGGCAACCCTAAGTCCTCTACATTCCTGTTGCGTATAAGAACTCTCGCCCAGCCCTGGGGCAGCACTATCCTCAATGGCTTCTATTATCCCAAAGAAGTAGAAAGGCCAGTCATTAGTGCTAGACAAATGGAAGAAGTGCAGGGGTGAAGTTTCAGGTTGAGGCAGGACACAAAGGAATTGAGGCAGGGAACATCCTCAGCAAGATTAAAAAGATCACTTTTAGATGCTTTCAAGATTAGTTTGCAAGAACACCAGTGGTTTTAAAAAGTATTCTTTTTTCTAAAAATATTGCTTGTTTCAATTTAGCAATGTTATCTACACAGATAAATCAGTCACCATTTTTTCTTAAGTAAAGAGATTTTACCTTCAGCATGCACATTTATAACATACACCAACTGAATTCTTTATAAATGGAGTTATATTTTTCTAAGTCCAATTGATTTCAATAAGAGAGTGTCTCTCTGCTTAAAAATAAAGCCTTTGTGGTGTGAAATGTTGGGCGGGTGGAGAAATATCCCTTCTCTAAATGGCATCCCTGAAAAGGAGGCCATTGGCTTTGTCCTGGAGCTCCTGTATGGGCAGTAATGCATAGATCCCATTGTAAAGTAAAGGTTCTCTTGCTCGAAAGCCAGTCGAATCCGACTCTAGGGTTGCGGTGCTCATCTCCATTTCAAAGCCGAAGAGCCAGCGCTGTCCGAAGACGTTTCCGTGGTCATGTGGCCGGCATGACTAAACACCAAGGCGCACGGAATGCTGTTACCTTCCCACCGAAGTGGTACCTATTTATCTACTTGCAATTTCTTGCTTTCGAACTGCTAGGTTGGCAGGAGCTGGAACTAGAGACGGGAGCTCACTCCGTCATGCGGCAACTCGGGTCTTGAACTGCTGAACTACTGACCTTCTAGCCTGCAGTTCAGCATCTTAACCACTTGAGCCACCGCAGCTCCTAGATCCCATTGTAGCCAGTGCTAACTCCTTCATTCCCTGTGGTTCCTATTGTGTTGTTTTTGGCTCTTCAGAATGACGACATCAAAATAACATAGTTATTCATCCAAACCATGTCAGTCTGAAGACTTAATAACACAAGTCTTGAGAAAACGGGGGGTGGTGATTTCAGTCTATTGCAGATCCCCCACTTTGCTCCCATGCTGTTCCCAAAAATCCACTCATCCTTAAGAACAAAATATCGGGCGGCTCAGTGAACTGCATGGGGGGTGAGTGTAGGAAGGAATATCCTGTTTCACAAAGTCCACATAGGGCTGGATACATCCTGGTTACACTCTGTTTCTAAACCTACTAGATTTTGTACTTCTTAGGACACTGCAGGGAAACTGCACTGCAGTTAAGTCTAGCGTGTAACTAAAGCTGTGTTTTTCTCCTTCATAAGGAAATGAGTATCTTCACCAGTCTGCAGAAGATGATGTCATTCTTTACAACGTTGAATCTGGGCAGTCAGTCACTCTCATCACTAACAGCACCCTTGTATGTATTACCAATGGTGTTTGCTGTAAATGGATGGAATGAGAATTTATTGAAGGGACGACCATACGTAGGATTCTAATTGACATCTTAACCTTTCAGACTAAAGTGAAAGCCACAAACTACGCCTTATCCGCCAACCAGAATTTTATATTGTTGGAAAGCAATTACTCTAAGGTAAAATATGTGCCCTTTGTTTAGATGAAAGTGGTGTCTTTTGCAATTGGGAACCTATAAAGAACTCAGGATAGGTGTAGGTTTGGTTATATGACAGCACAAATAATTACAGTGGGACAGGAATAGCCACAAAAGATTATTTCATTGCCATTCCTATTACCCCAGAAATCCATTATGTTTGTGGGGGGGTGACTTAGAGACCAGTTCCTTTTGTCCTCATAGTGGTTTTGGCATTAAGTCCTTTGTAGGAAAGTAGCAGGCACACTGACCTCTGCTTTTGGGCAACTTCCCCTACAGCGAGAGGGAAACACATATCTCAGGGCACTTCTGCATTCTCATTTTTGTCACTTGTGTGTCCCTATTGCTTTGGTTGTTTTCCCCCCCTTTTCAGCATGTGTTTTGCTCTCTTGGGTACTCGATTCAATATATTACATCTCTGAATGCCCAGCATGTCTCCCTGCAGATTTAAACTGCAGGATTCTACACCAGGCATACAGCGATATAATGTCAAATCTACCACTAGGGGGACCAAAATACATGCGAAAAAGAATTACAAACTCCGACGCAATAGGGACACACAAGCAATGAAAATGAGAATGTGGAACAACCCTCAGTCTGGGGTGTATTTAGGGATTTTAAGGTAAGTGTGGGAATGGGGGCATTCCAACTGCTTGCATTTTTCCCTGCAAAGCCATAGGGCTTTCTAGGCAAGAGATGAACAGAGGTAGTACATGCCTCTGAGTAGCAACCGTGGACTTCCTTGGTGATCTCAAATCCATGTACTAACCCAGGGCCAACCCTGTAGTTCATCCTAATCTCTTAGTCAATCTTGTCTCCGCACTAGTTCTAGGAAGTTGTGATGCTAGAGTGGAAACTCTCTGAGCAGTTGGGCAGTCTATATACTGAGCAACTTAAACACTTTCTAGCCTTACACGTGGAGCTACCAGCACCATTAAGAAATATTTCCAGAAGCTTAGATATGTGAGAATTGGTTCTAAGACATGACATTTTAGATGTCACACGGCTTTCATAAGGATATGGATATTGTTTGCTTGATGTAAAGAAGGTAGGGTGTTATAAAGATTGTAGGCCTTTGTAGAAAGTCTGAGAAGAAGCAATGTGTTTCAGACACAATAATCATTCCTTTCTTTCTGATGTGACTTTTTTCAGCTTTGGAGGTACTCTTATACAGCATCCTATCACATTTTTGATCTTATCCATGGGTAAGGATGATACTTTTTCTTGTGTAGTGAAGCCCAGTTATCTTTGTGTAGAGTCTGTGCTCAGTCTTTTGTTCACACTCCTTTCAAACAGCTTAAATAACTCAGACATTCACTGAGAATGTTAACAGTCACTTAAAATGTGATTGTCAGGATTCACTCACCCAAAAAGTGGGGAAATATTTTTAGACGTTCACATGTGAATGTCAACAGTCCCCGATTTTCAGGCTTTAAAACAGTAAATTCAGTGGACTCTATTGACTGCTAGAAGTACTAATTCATACAAACTTGTTTTGCTCTTTTGTAGGGTCTTTGCCAAAGAACATGAGCTTCCACACAACATTCAGTATATATCTTGGTCACCCACTGGACACAAATTGGTCAGTAAGCTAATGAAGTGTGAGAATAATGTCACTTTTTGATGTGCTAGATGAGATTTTATTTGCCTTTGATGTTTGCCTAGGCGTCATTTTAACAGGCCTTTTATCTGTTCATCAACTGTGTTTAAAAATATTGAACCTTAAAGATAACACTTCACTGGTGCATGGAGATGTGCCGTATTAGAACTGTGCAGATAAAGCACGTGCTTTAGCAGACTCCCAATAGTGTTAGGCCTAGGGCATAATGCTTTGGCTTGTTCAGAATTTGACAACTCCAGGTACAGAATTTGACAGCTCCAGTTACAGATCCAAGACAGGAGAGGCCCTTTACTACATTCCTGAAAACAGCTGATTCTGGACATCTTCAGCGTCCCAAGACAGATCTAGTACCACTGGACTAGTAAAGTAATTAATGGAAAAAAGTGGGGTCACTTTCTGAAAATAAAGGATTGTGCTGGAACAGAAGTAATTTAAGCATCATGCTTTTGCTGAGATCGGGGAGGGGGCAGTGTTACCTGACACCGTGCTTTTTTGCATCTGATCCCTTCCCCCCCCCAGTGAGAGGGCACTGCTCATCTAACTTCTGTTTGGACCTACCCTCTCTGCTTCTCTCCTAAAGCTGAGAAAATCAGCAGGACAGAAGGTTTAAGGATTGTCAGTCTAAAGCAAATACCATGCTCTTGTTGGTGGAGATGCAGTTCATTTTTCCAGGGCTCATGGGTACACAAAAATCTCAATATGGACTCAATCCCTTGTCTTTAGAGGCATCCAAGTTCTGTGAGTTCAAGTGTATGTTCTTATCACTCAGTGCTACCCTTTTATCTGCAAAAATAAAGCGGTTGGGCCACTCCAAATATTTATTACATTTTATCCCACTCATTTTCTATTCAAAAAACTCATGGTATTAAATTTGAAATCATACCCATTTTATCCTCAGCCACTGTCGAGTAGTGGTTGAACTAATATCTGGGAGATCCCCGTTTGTCCCATGGAAGCCCACTGGGTGACCTTGGGCCAGTCACACTCAGAGCCTAATCACAGGGTGGTTGTGATGATAAAATGGAGGACAGGAGGATAATGTAAGCTGCCCTGGGTCCCTTTGGGGAGAAAGGCTGAGTATAAACAAATCTATGAAATAGGATACAGGGAGACATAGTGACTTGCCCAAGGCCACCCACTGAGCTGCACAGCTGAACAAGAATTTTGGCCAGATATCTCTGGCCTAAGGGCCACACCGTATCCACTAAGTCACATGGTAATCATTAGTTGGATGGAAGATCTGTATATGCCATAGAGGGTTGTTACCCCTGCACTCTCCCAACTGCAGCCCCAAATGGGGACTCTCTCCTAGAGCTTGGAGGGTAATTTGTTTTATTGATCTTATTGATTTATTTTTATACCAAATATGAATACAAAATATGAATAGAAAACATACAGATACAAATGCAGAACTATCACATAGGAAAAAACCTATAATTCCATCTAACTACATGTAATCGATGAACATGTACCAGAACTAGGGATGCCAGCCTCTGGGTAGGGCCTGGGGATCCCCTGGAATTACAGATGATCTCCAGACAACAAACTCCAGTTCCCCTGGAGAAAATGGCTGCTTTGCGGGCGGTCTCTATGGCATTATGTCCTGATGAGATCCCTGCCCTCCCCAAACTCCACCCTCCCCCAAATATCCAGGAATTTCCCAACTTAGACCTGGCAACTCTAACTAGAACTAGCACTTTATGTAGTGTTTTTTATATTTTTATTTACATTTTATTCAATTCTCTGTATTATCTGTTTAATGGAGTTTTATGTGAGCAGCTCCGAGGCTGCTTTGGTGGGGAGGGCGGGATATTAATTAATTAATTAATTACATAAAATAACAACCAGTTCAATATAAGATACTTATACCATAATCTCATCATATCTGACACAAATACACAATAAGGTACAACGTTATCTTGGACTTCATCATTCCAGTGCATAATGAACATGGACCATTTCTCCACAAGTGTCAGAGGTAGCAGAGCCATTAGACCTCATATAATATGTCAGTTTCATCACTGGGAGAATTTTTGAAGAGTAATTTATGATCCTCCCCCCCTGATGA